ATATTTATGTTTGTGGTTGTAATGTGACAAAATATGGAAAAGTTCAAGGGGTATGAATACTTTTGCATACCACTGTATGCTCCACAAGCTAATATCTGCTAACCAGTTCAATAAATAACAGTGATTACATCGACTTTACAAGATTATTTTAATTTTAAACTGTTACATTATGTTCTGCTCAGATCACATTGAGCTAAATAAGATCAAATCTGCTGTAAAATGAGACGTTTTCCTGTTTATCTTCTGTTAATAAATCCATAACACAAACAGCTTTTCTGACATTATTTAAAACATTAAATAGATTATATGAACTGTAAAATGTTAATAATAATTAGGTTAATATAATTATTAATAGTTTTAATCATGTCTACATCGTCAGTCCTTTTTTCTGCTCTGTTGTCAACATGTACARTAATGRGAAATCCAGACTCTTGACAGTTTAGCGTTAGCCGTTAGCTTCACCAGCCGATCACACGGTCACGTGGTTTCTGCGCACTCCAGCTGTTCTATATAAACGTCTTGGGTTTGACCAGATGTTTAACAAATATTTAGCTAGAACAGTAGTTCTCAACTGTTTTTGGGTCAGCTCCCCCCTGACCATGATCCAGGTCCCTTACCTCCCCCGTCAATTAAAATGTGGTATTCTTGCACTGAATATTATTATTACTGTCATTATTATTGCTGTTTCTGTATTCAGTGTTSCCTCCTTTAAAAAATAAACACATCACTGAATGATAAACAGATTTATTAATTTTCCAGGGAACAAAAAACGCCGAATGATCTCCGCTTTAGCTTCTTCAGCAAATCTCCATAAAGTCATTCAGGGCTCAGCAGTCAMCCTTCATTTCAGGAAAAAAAAGAAGCACTTCCTGTCTTTCAAGATGAATTCAGTGAACTGAAACTGGCTCTTACAGGTTAAAGACATGTTTCAACACAGGTGTTTTGTTTGTCTTCAGGACGCTGTGCGAGTGTTGATCCGTCACTCAGCAGACGTGAATGCACGAGACAAGAACTGGCAGACGCCGTTGCACGTTGCCGCAGCAAACAACGCACTGCGATGCGCTGAGCTCATCATCCCAATGCTGAGCAGCGTGAACGTGTCGGACCGCGGCGGCCGAACCGCCCTGCACCACGCTGCTCTCAACGGCCACACCGAGGTACTGCAGACAGGACGGACAGGATCCGATGGGTTCAGTTTCCTCTGCAGGTTTATAAACTGGCCTGTGATATAAGCAGCCTTTGTGCTGCACTGGTTGAGTAACTTGGTTAGAGGAAACAGGTGGGCGAGCGCAGCTGTGTGCGTGGTGGGCTGTGCGTTCTGAAGCTCTCTTCATTGCTGACAGAATAATTCACATTTGTGCCAAATCTAAAATTAACAAGACTCACTATTCCTGCAACACGTGAGCCAAGAGATGAGCTGTGTTTACCTGCAGCTGCATCAAGGCCGTCCCACACAGAAGTATACTGGATATCCCCCAAAGTTCCCACTAACTCTCCCTCCTCTCCTCACTTCCTGTCAGATGGTGAACCTTCTGCTGGCTAAAGGAGCGAACATCAACGCCTTCGATAAGAAGGACGGCCGAGCGCTGCATTGGGCTGCTTTCATGGGTAAATCAAGCCTGACTCAGCATAATTGCTGTTTTACAGCAGGTTCCTGTTCTGCAGCACATAAAACACTCAGAAATACAGCATCACAATCACATCATTATACACCATAGACACAAAGACAAACAAGCATACCAAATTTCAGGAAGGCTATGATTTTGATGTGAATATGTGTAAATGTAATTTTTTGATCATGCTAACAAGCTAGCTTTGTATAAAAATAAATGCAACTCAGCCATAAAAAAACAAATAACCTTTCCTCCACATTGTTTGTAGAACATCTACTCTGATGCTACATGAGAAGTTTCATGCTAATTGGAGTTGTGCCTTTGGAGGAGATTGCAATTTGCATAAACAACAATACATTTTTAAACAAACATACATGGG